TCTATCGCACACCCCATTTCAGTCCTACATTGACTTTTGGCTTTTACAGTCGTTCAAAGGCTATTCCACGATTAGGTCAATTTAAGTTTTTTTAACTCACCATGGGTAGTAATTATAAGTTGAGGATAGCAGACTACTTTCCCTTGCAGACAATTTGTATACCAAAATAAATTGCTAGTTCCCTAAATTGGGGAGAAAGTGCAAGACGCTGAGGACAAAGCCCGGAAATAAAGGTCGAGAAAAGTGGAACACCCCATAGTCTGGTGATTATATTTTCCTTTTTTTAACTTTGACGTAATTTAGCCTCGACTTGACAAGCATATTTACAATTAATCATGAAACAAGCTAGGTCTGCACCCCAAGACCGAAAAAGATCAGTATCTCTGGTATTGGCCGACTATTGCGGCATAATTCAACTCTTTATCAAGTTAAATAGCTGAGGTACTAGGCCTCATGAATGCATAATGTAAACTGCAATATCATGACTTGAACAAAGAAATCTTATTCGCACTCCGGTAGACTTCAAGGTGCGGCCGTGCTACTTGTCGCATAGGGAGAAAGAGATCTCTCGTCTAACCACCAATCAATAGTTGCTGCACTGTTTAACAAACCCCTAATTTTCTTTAAATGAATAGACTTTGTGTGTAGACACAAGCCCATAACAATTCCTTATGGTTTTTTACATGTAACTTTTCAATTATTTATCAATATATTTGCTCCCAGGACCTGGTTTCCGAATACATTCTTTTTCCTATTAACTCCTGGTGAATTTTTCAATCTTCTTTTTATTAAGTCAATTAAAGCCATCTAATAAAGTTAATAAAGCCTCTTTTTTTCATGAAAAGAAACATAATACTTCCAAATGTGGCACAAGGATTTATTTGAAATGGAATTTTACAGAGCATTCACCAACATTTTAAACATTTATAGAACTTGTGACCTTGAGCCAATCATGAGATTTCTTCTGATCTTTGCACTTACCTGAGCATGTACTTCTTCATTCACCCACCGCTACCTTCGCATTTGAATGAATGGCTTTCGAAAGCTCGGTGTTCAATTTATTCAAAAGTTAGGGAATATTGAAAAATTTGATTCCTTTCAAAACCCTTATGAATGGGCTAATCAAAGAAGGGGTCGACTTAATTAAAGTTATTAGGTCTATATTCGGATGAATTTTTTTGTGCGCAATCTTTTTTTACCATGATGTATAATAATTTCATTTTAGAACTTAAGTGTTCAGATGGGAGTTGAAAGATTGTACTGGGTAACAGCTATATAGCAGGCATAAAATACCTAATTTAGGAAATGATATGAGATGATAAAATCGGCAAATTCAGACGGATACTTTGTTCATCCTCAAATGAACTTGAATGAATTTAAGAAATCAAATACTGATGGAGTATATATAAAATTTAAACCTTACTCGTTCAACTAACTTCAAGTCTTAAAGATAACTGAATTAAATGCTATCAAAATTATGCATGTCATGAAGGTTTTAGTGAGTTTTAAGTCTGTAATCTCGAAAATTCGCTTCAACCGCTCTTCCATTAGTAAACGCATTTGTTGTGTTCAAATCATATCTTTATATGACCTTTTTGTTAAATGAGTTAACACTTTGAATAATAATAGAAATCTCCCATGAATGGCTATTTCTGTAAAATTATTACAGGTCTATAACTGGAATTTAAGCCTATTATCTGCTATTTTAATAGTTCAGTAACGAGATTGATTATTTAGCGTCTATAATGCCCTTGTATATTTCTTCCCATATCACAATAAAATTATGAAATTACCTAGATATCAAGGTTTTTCAAACTTTAACCATTGTTATGCATAAAATAGACTAAAATTCGTATTGTATTCGCCCCTATAGTTCAAAGGAAATGTGAACTAAAGCATTTCTGCATGGTCTCCTGGGTTCCACTCCAGAATCAAAACTTTAATATGAGTGAAAGCCATTCGAGTGGCTTAGAATTTGAACCAAGTATGATCGGCTATCCGCAAGCGAGCTACAAAAAGCCTAATAGCCTTCTCTGCATGCTAAATATTTTATGAGATAAAAATTTTGTAACTGAGGGAGAGAGTTTATATTAACAGCTAAGTATTCGTTTAATGAATATTCTAGTAGCGTAACACAGCGGAATCAACATATTGATTTCCAAATCATTTTAGAAGGCGTATTTTCTTCGAAATTTAATTTGATATTTGTGGTCTTTTAAAAATAACTGAAGGATCAGTAATACGGTGTACGTCAATCAATCCAAATAAACTAAATGATCTAATCATGCAGATTGATCGCAGATGATGCTTTTCTTATCTCAGTGGAAGAAAATCACTATTTGTAAATTTCAAATTAAAGAAGTCATATGACTACCTCTCTTATAAAAGTGAGTCAGATGAACTTTAGAATCAGACAGATTTACGCAAGAACTTCACAAAGTAATGCTTCGATACATTCAAATTTTTGAAATTAGTTGCATTTTCGAAAAAATTGTATTTGCGTACAATGAAATAAAATTTATTGATCTAAGAATGGGGTTACCTATATTGTCAACATAAGCATAACACTGATATACTTTTGCTACCGACTGATATACTTAGAAGCTTGCGCAATTGCCTTCATGGTTTCCGTCTAGACCTCTTTATTTGCCATTTTGAAACCCGTAAATAATGACTTATCAGCAATTAATGCCCTGGGTGTGTAGGCTGAAGGGAACAAATCCATTTAAGAAAATTCGTCTGCTTAACATCCGGCTTCAGTATTGGTGATTAATGATGAAAATAACTGTGAAATCCATAATGTAAAAATACCAATTAGGTCGTAAGAAAAAAGTCAATTAAGTTAAAATGGACAGAATAAATACATTCCGTATATAGACAGAAATAAGATTAGAATTCCTCAATCATGACTAACTGAAATTGATTAATTGATGAGCTATTTTTAGAAAAGTGTATAGTTGATGGAAATATATAAGCAAGCTCTACATACGCACGAAATGCCATTATGATAAGCACACCAAATTGTCATTTTTAATACTCGTCAGAATTAAAAAAAAATTCTTTAAAAGAAGGAAAATATTTTCAAGTAATGAAAAATCCTGACTGACCATAATTTCCTCAGTGTGAGCATTTTTGCTTTACAAAATTATATATTATGAATAATATACTTGAAATTTGTGCAAATAACAATTTCAATATTTAAATGATATTTGATAATTGACAAATATATGAATTTTAATAGATGTTTATATAAATGCATTAAATGAGCCACTTGTGAAAATGTGACCGAAAATTTCAACTGGATATAATAAATTTACAACAGTAATTAATATTGTGAATTTTGTTCACGGTTTCTTAATTTTTATGATAGCCGTAGCATTTATCAGGAATAAATATTTGGTTTGTCCTGCTTACTCACTGGTTAACACATATGGTATCATAACGACTGTATTAACGGTATAGATGACCATTTAGCATTCAAGATAAGAATAATAAATCTATATATTAACCGATTATATATATATTTATTTATCTATTAAATAGAAGTGATCATAATATTACTGGAGTTGAGGCGTGCCAAATTCTAAAAATATCGATTTTGGTGCGTCACTTGATTTTTTGAAACTTGAACATTACTTTCATTTAAATGATTCTATTTTGAATTCGAAATCGACCTATTCAATTGTATGAAATTAAGTATTTAGACATTTATGCTATCTTCTGAAGAAAGCAGCGATAGTTGATTTATTCCATGTATTTTATTGTGTTTGTGTATTGGAAAATTATTGATAAATTAGAGTCATTGAATTGTCAATTACATTCCCATGGAAAATAAAAAATCAACCAGTCGATGTTTTGCAAATAACATGGCGCACATATATGCACTGATTCACAGTCAATAATTCATTATTTCTTTGATTTTTGAATTAATCCTCCAAACGCGAGATAAGTTATTTGAAAGTGTACTTTTAAAGAAAAAGAAAAAGTAAAATGTTTAAATTTCAATTTAAGGAATGTGGCGCATTTGATATAAATTATACATCAGATTAAATGAGTGACTTACTCTATTTCTTCCTTTTTGACAAATTGGAACAATAGTAATTAAGCCCAGAAGCTCTAAAATGAAACAAACGAATGCTAAAATCCCATCAAAATAAAAAAGGATAATCTTATTCGACTAAGGTGTACATGAGGATGTTAAATTTTGGTAAGATAACTGAACTTGATTAAATAGAGCGCAATTTAATGTTATGCTTTAGAATAACATTCGCAGATTTGCTGTTTAATTCCTCTTATGAATGTTCATGAGGGGAATATCATAAATTACATTCAGGTATGGTTAAAAACGTTTTGGAAATTGTCGGTCTTATAGGTTACATACCTTTACTAGAATCATTTGTTTCCAGCCAACCTAGCCAAATACGAAAATTATGGTCTCCTGTCAACTTTCCTGGAATTTCTGTAAAGTGGTCTTGCTTTCTTACTTTATACTACATATCAACATGGTTTATTGGAAATTAATGTCAGCAATATTGAACAGGTGTAAAACAAATGAAAAAATTATCTCACAGTTATCGTTTCGACTACTTAAAAATCATTGCTAATTGAACTTACAACTTACTTAATGTTTACAATCTGATTTCCTTTTATTTGTCACGCGTTCAGGCTTATTTAGTATTTTAAAAATAACACATTAAATGTTCACATTATTTGAGCAGATTTCTATTGATATATAAAATTTTGCTCAGGAAAAGTAAAGCATTTAAATCCATTCGACGCTTTTATATTTTTTGAAAATAAAGGATATTAAATTCAACTGAGCTACTTTAATTTGGAATTAAAGGAGAACTGAATGTAATTTTAACAATTAAAAAATGGATTTCGTACATAGCAACCTTTTAACTCTAAATAACTAGTCAATAACGCTCTGAATTTGAAAGGCAGGTTCTGACCAATCCCGGCTAAAAATTGTGAAATATCTGTACTTTACGTCGCAAAGCATGGTCGAAGACTATAATCAGCCTTCTCTGTTATTTGAAGATCAAATTTCTAATCAGGAAGATGATTTGGCTAAGATATGGCGTCATGTTTGGAAACTTAATAATAGAGATGCTTACTTAACACTCACAGGCTTAACAGCCGATGCTTTACTGAAAGACAAATACGGTGTTTTGCTTCGAGTTGTCGAAAGCTATTTGCCACAACTTAAAGCTACTAATGGGTATTCAGAAGTAAAAAATAATTAAATTTAGATTTCCATCTCGTAAAATTTTTGCCGCTAAATATATCACATTTTTACTCCTCCAATTAAATATTAATGATGAAGTTGACCAGAAGATCTTCAATGACTTGGTAATTTATTTTCTTTATAGCTTATTTTTAGTACGGGTCTTGGGTTTGTTGCGTATCTGAGCTTTTGTGTTCAGACAATCACATTCATTGCCAAATTGGGAGAAATTTATGTTGCGAATTATGGGATCTCGTACGGTTTTATTTCCTAACGTATACGTTCGTTTAGACCATAGGACCATTGAAAGCCGCATTCTCTATGCTCTCATCAATAGAGAATATTGAAAAATTTTTGCCGCTCGCTTCTCTTGCTTGCACTTTGCAAAGGGACAGTGATGTGGTTAAATCTATTGATAAAGTGAGTTTGCACTTTATTTTCCTAACCCCTTTAGTCCAAAACTCTTGCTACTCTACTTGAGTACGCCTTTACAGAAAAGAAATCTGCTTCCCTTAGTGTTTTGGCAAGTGAATGCTTTATTACTGACTGGTTCCTTAGAAACATTCTGAAGGAATATTGAATTATTGTTTGAATGAAACAACTTTCAAAGAGGAATTTCTTCCCCTAGTCAATAGAAAAATCCGGCGCTCGGCTGAAACCTCCATTCCCGGTTTGTTCATTTTGATCTAGGGGTTGATACAATTATCCTTTACTAGTATTCCAAGTTATCTTAAGTCGTTTGGAATTTCAAATTAATGAAATTGAAGGAGATTTGATCGATACCCTCATTAGCAACCTGCTGTCATCGAATTCGAAAACTCGTAACGCAACAGTTGCATCTTTGGTATCCCTGGTGAAATTGTCCAAGAATCCTGACCTGAAGTTTACAATCTTCAAAAAGGTGAGTTATAGTTAAATTGTGTTTTCCAGAAGAAGATTACTCGTAAATTTTTTATTACGAAATGGTGATGTAATTTACAATTCTTTATCATAGAGCGTATTAATAGGGGCTCTTTGTGTCCATGTCTGCCTAGTTTGTCTTGTGCTTATTGAAATTCCTAGAGTTCTTGTAACGGTTGTAGGATTTGGGATAGAGATGTCTGCATTCTAAGTGAATTAAAATGTCTTGATCGAAAGTTTGACATTATGTTTGGGCTAAACTATGGGTCTTATATTGTATCGATTTATTTCTCTGCTATAATACTAAAAGTTATTTAGGTTGGCTCTACATGTTTTAGAGTTTCTTTTATTATTATTATTAAACCCAATGAAATGTCACATGAACACTCGAAATGGCAGATAGTTCAATGAAGGATGAAACAGGAAGTTAATTGGATTATGAAGTGCATTCAGTGCCAAGAGCCTTTGAATTGTATCGCAGTATTTGGCTGGTTCAAAGCTCAAGTTGATCTCTGAGATTTTGAGTAAGTTTACCTCCGCAGTATTCAGTTTGTTGATACGTTGATGTAATTCAGTGGATAGTCATGCCATTTTGATTCATTTGTATCTTCTTAAAGATATTTGAACATTCTAAACACGCCAGAACTCACTTGGGTTCACTCAAGGTGAATCTAAGTCACTTGTACGGGTTGAAAAACATAACAAACTGCGATATTCAATAAAATGGTTATTTTTCTACCTAGTGACATCAACTAGCTTTGTTTTTTTCATTGCTACAAAATTCATTAGTACATGTAATTGAATATTTTTTGGGTTGCTAAAGAATCTATTATTCCCTTTTCCACTTCTAGGTTAGTGCGAAATTGAATGGTCCTGAAGGTCGCCGATCATCTACTGATGTGAATTTATCTCTTCTCGATGCTCTGGGTAGTCTTTCACACCCCCCTTCGACAAATACCAGTTTTTACCCTGATGTTCTAAAGGGTTTCTTGGATATTATCTACTCTGAAGGTTTTTTTGCCTCCGTTACTTATATAACTTTCTCCTAAGCAATTGTAATAAAAGATTTTACTCATTAGGTAATGAGGATATTCTTGATTCAGCCGTTAAACAATTGAGTCGTTGGATGAATCTTCCGAAATTTACTTTCAACGAAAAGGCTCAAGCGTTGTTTAAGGTATAAAATTTTATTATACTTTTACGAATGTGGAAACCCGCTAAATTGTTTGTAATTATGTATTTTTTTAAATTGTTTTAGGATAAGCTCTTTGCAAGTCAGACATCGCATCGGGTGAAAATGGTCATCTTCCGCTTTCTGGATGAGGTCTGTCGATCAAGTGAGTTCAAGCGTCCTTGCAACTTGTGACAAAATTTCGAAAACAGGCTTTTATGTCTTTCTATTTGACAGGGTAATCGTATGCCAGTGAGAATGTTTTCTTTATAACAAAGGAAACTCATTAACAAAAGCATGCTCAATTGGGGTTCTATGGTTGAGAATCATGTTTGTCTTCTCTGCATGGTTAGTATCTTAACTAATTTAATAGACACTGGTGGCGAAGTAGTAAGGAAGTTATCTGTTATACTAGTCTACGTGAACTCAAAACTCGTTAAATCGATAATTTTTCCAATTGAAATTTGATGGGATAAGTTTTTCTCCAAAGGGAGTGCTAGAAGAAACTTATCTTCACTAGGTTTACGTGCTATTTTAGCTATTTAATAGAGGAACACTACTAAAGATAGCTATTTTGTATTTCTCTATTCAATTTGTATACTAGAAAGCACTTCCTAGATTAGCGCCGGTGGAGGAGGGGTCAAGGTGCATGTCTGCCATATCTGAGGTCTTGAGATCAATGCTCACATGTAGACACCTAGTGATGTGGTTGGCTAACCCAACTGATTATTCAGATCTATTAGAGAAGTTGATCAAGAGGACCTTTTCTCTACCCTTAGTTTCCTTATGTTAGTAGTTGGTTTTTATAAAGGTTACTTCCTTTTACTTTCTACAGCTGGCAAACTTCCAAAAGCCTACATTCCTCTCCTCGCAACAACGGCTCAATCTGCCAAAAAGGAACCTCCAGTGTCTGATGCTGTTAGTCGTGCTTTGGCCGCTGCTTGTCTCTGGCTTATGAACACTAGCCAACCGAGCAAATTGCCAGATGCAATTTGGACTGTTTTGGGCGATCTCAAAGTTACTCAATCGACGAGTCAAGATGCCCTCCCGAATTGGCTTAAAGATCGCTTCCTGCTTAAGGCTTCTTCTAACGGTGAGTACCTGAGTGCCTTATCAGTAGATATATATTTTGCAATACTATAAGCAGTCTATTTGAACTTATCGTTTGTTGCATACTAACTCGAATCACATCAATTATCATTATAGTCTCCTATTTCAAATATAACTAGATGTAATTACTGAGGCTCGTATGCTAACTGTTTTACTTCTCTTGTAATCGCTGTTCTAATGCTTGTGCAATGGCGGACACTGTCAAGATTTAAGATGTTCCACAAGACTAGGAACTAAAAATAACACTTACTAACAGTCCAAGAGTTAGAGTCGGGCTAGAATTGAGTAGGTTCAAGGAAGTGCAAGAACGGGGGGAATATCAATGAAATACACAAGGAAAAGCAAAGTAAAGGAATTCAGGTAGTATGCTCGTCAGCATCCATAGTCTTGCAATCAGCGTCTGTTGAGTTTTACCGTAAAAGTGAGTTATTGCGAAGAGGTAGGTAGAAATCGCTAATCATTATTCCACAACTGATACGATTGAAGATGGTTTAAACAAACTCAAGAGCATAAACATTATCTTGAATTTAAACGGTTAAATTAATGTTACTCAAACTAATACTTTCGAGGGAAATTTAATGACGACGTTTCACTCTCCTCTCAACCCTTTGGTTTGAGTCGAAAGGGGTGTTTCAAACTTCACGGTAAATAATCTAAACAGAGGCGATTCTGTGAATAAAGTCATGACGTCGAGAGTCTAACCTTATTCGGAACCTGGTTGGACTAAATTGTCAATAATAGTAGACAGGATTATGTCAAGAGTTCAAAGTTGATGGTTTTATCACAAGGTTCCTGGGTAAATGAGTTCGTGTCCGCAATTTTAAGATTTGCTCAAGGGGTTGACCATAGCCCTCCGGTAGAATTGCCTCCTTTCTCGGGTTCACTAGCTGGGGTGTAGCAGCTGTGACATTATTTGAATATTTTGTGCTTTAAAGTAATTGAACTATTTACCAACTTATTGGGCGCTTTACAAAACATTAACTCCCAAGTCAAGTGTGCAGAGTAGATATAAATCTCGATTAATTTCCCTTTGCATTAAATTGCACTCTATTTTGCTACTCTGGCAAATTTTTGCTTCTCATAACACTCTAATACCTAATTGTATCGGATCGCAAATTTTGCTAGACCAAAATACGTAGACGGAAATGTGCTGTTGAGCTAACGTAGATTAGTCGGTTGGAGATAAGCTAGAATTGACGAATATTGATGCATTTGTTAACCAAAGTCTAATGACCATCATTTAATAGATTTTATTCTTCCCTTTTCTAGTTCATTCCTATCTCATCTCCTGTATCTACATTCTCTTTACCAATCACTCTAGTGCATTGTCTAATGAACAGAAGAAGTAAGTGGTTATTAAACCATTTAATGTCAACTTGACTTGCCATGTGGATCATCATTTCTATTTGTTTGCTTCATAGTGCCTTTTATCGCGTTCTCATGCTCCTTTGGCTCTACACTGACTCGCAAGAAGTTTTAGCCGATCTTCGATGTTGCTTGTTTAGTATTCTAGCCAACGAGCGAAAACATGACAATACCATCGCCCACAAGGTGATCATTGATACTCTCAATCCTCTGGTGATGGAGTCCTTGGACAAAAAAGGCGATCTCTTGTCCACAGCACTGAACAATCAGTCTCGTTTTGGCCGACGTCTTATCCAACTTGTCTCTCTGATGGTAACAGTTGGGTCGTCCACCAATCTTAAGTTCAAGACTGCTATGTTTGCCAACTCGAGGCTTCCCGCTTCTTCTGAGGAGTCTATTTTGAAGGAGCTTTCGATTAGCGAAAAGTTGAGTCTGTTCTGTGCTGCTCTATGTGGAGTGAGCCATCCTGCTACAAGTGAGTATGAAATATCTTCGTGGAAGTGCTTCCCTTCTTAATACCCTAGGTACCATTTTGTGCTTGAAATAATGACACAAATGGCATTACCAAAGGTAACCTTAATTATGCTATTTTTTTAACCCAGGCAACGTGACAATTTTCAGCTAGTTTTATGAGATAGCATTTGAACATTCGAGATACCAATACATCTCAATCTAAAAGGCGCACATAAATAAAGACAGGGTGCCAAGAGTCTTTATTTATTTTAATTCTTGAAGCATTGAATCTCCCATTTCTTCATAAGAGGTATTATAGTCTTTGTAATATCGAAACTCTCAGTGCTCAATTTTGGCTTAGTTCGTGCCATACATGTTCGGAGTTTGTTAAAACACTGATTTTCTTGAAGTGTTAGGGGATGTCACCTTGGTTAAGCTTCGATTTGTTAGTTAGGCCCCCCCCCCAGGTAATTATGAACATAACACACTTCCCCTTGTTCACATCAATCGTGTCGACGGCTTTTAGTAATGACGTGGCATGGTCTTTTGAAATGAAATAGCTTTGTTGAATTTGTGATTTTGATTTTGAAAGGTAACTTAAATCGTATCAGACCATGAAATACCATGCTACACGGGTTGAATGTCATAGAGGAGGTATAACCTCATAGTCTGAGTTCTCATTGACAAGCTACTAGTTGAGCTTAAAGCTTAGCTTGCTTTTAGTAAAACAAATAACAGCCCTCTAGAAATATCTTTCCGGATTTTCTTCAGAAAGCCTTTACTATTGAGTTATGCATATTCTGCTCTTTGTTTCAAGTATTACTTAAGGAAAAAATAATATGAAGTTAAACTGCCATCAAAAGTAGTGAGTTTAGGCTGTCGGTAATCAGTACCTCTTCTTTCATTATATTTACTAATAATAATTATTGTTATTTACACTCAGTTTTCAATCATGAAAACAGCAAAGGCAAGTAAAGTATAAAAGTGTGAAAGTGATTGTGAAAAAATAGGTTAAGAATGAAGACTAAACATCAAGAGTATCACATTAAATTGTCCATTTCCACATAGGAGGTATTTTATTGGCAGTATTGAATCTTTCAATTTCATGATTTTACTCCGGAATTCAATGGTGGCATTATGTTCACGATATTCCCATTTTGTTGACCAGTTGATTTAGATCTATGGTAGGTCACGCCACTTCTAGTTTTGGCTTCATGTTAATGACATGAGCAAAAGGTTGAGATAATCGACGAATTTGGCATGGCAGAGCTCAGTGGAGTTTGGTTTAAGTGATTTTAGTAACATATAATCATAAATTTTCTTCCTTTAATTTAGTCGAAATCGAGAAACGACCCTGGCTTCATTTCCTGAAGATCATCGGTCTACCACTCCAAGACTGTGATATCAAGAATGTATTCAGCGAAAAAGATTGCACCGAGTCTTTTAACAAGGTTGTTGATCGTCTTCTCGAACTTCCAAAACTCGATGCGGTAAGGGAAAATGCATACATTTTCTCAATTTATTATTGATCTCAAGTACAGCCTTAATAGCCTTATTATGTTTTCCCAATCAGGCTCATCGCTTGATGCTCCAGCGACTTATTCGTTGGTCCCCAATGAAATTCGCATCTTGTCTTGCCTCAAAACTCTCTTTAGAGCTTTCCAGGGATGAATTCCTTCGAGTCACCACAGATGAGGTTGGTATAATGATAACTGAACCGGGCAAGCTCTATAATCAAGGTCTCTTGGACACCTTCCCCCGCTATCAAACCAACAAAGCTAATGTCAAAAAGGAGAATAAGCTTTACTCTCTCGACATTCAACTTGATATTATAGAGGCTCAAAAGCAGAAACAAGAAAAAGAAGCAAAGGAAAAAGATGCTGATTTCCTCACCCTGCTGGCTACTCAACTCACTGCAACTCAACTGGATATTGTCAAAGCTGAGATGGCTAATGAGGCTGAAATTCGCACCCGTGTTTCTAAAGTATGTATCTTTTTCGCCCATTTCTTTTTTTAAACAAATAGTATTAACAGAAATTATGTTCCTTTATTTGCAATCTAGATCTTCGTCCAAGGTAGCCATATGATGGACGTTCTTACTGTTCTGAATGATACCCTTCTTCATTGGAAGCCTGAAGATCATTCAATCCGACTGGAATTCCTTATCCAAAATGCATCAAACCTCTGGAATGCTCTGACGTCTCATCTTCAAAAGCCGCTCCTTTCAGTTCTTGCTATCGGTGCTCAGAGTCGGCTTGGTCGATTGATGGCGGAAGTAGCGATATCTCACTCCGTTAAAAATGCTATGGTTCGAAGGCAGAAAGCGCGTTGTTACGCGGCCTGGGCGATTCGAATTCTCTCACCTTGTCGAGTGTTGTCGAAGGATAATGCCCCACCGTCTCCTTCGTATCTTTTTGCGTCGTTTGCTGATGAAGCTTGTGTCTATGCGGAAAATGCTGAGTGGGACTCTATTTGCCATGCACATAGCTTGAAACATCAGACAGAAGCTATCAATGAAATGCTGGTCAAGGAGGTATGGGTTGTGTAATTCCATTTAACACCCATAGATGGGACACAGATTATCATAAATTTACCAGGTATTTAATCTTTAATCTGAGGATATGCTTTTTAGCAATGTTTTCATCAATTTATAAATCCAAAAATTGCTTGGGTCTTTATGCATTTTCGTTGAATCATTCTAGCTTTTATCGTTGAAGTTATTGGTGGATCTTCTCGCACCCCTTATAGTGGTTTACTTCTATTCCTATATTAGTTAAGAGTACTTGTATGGATTTGTAAAGAATTGTAGCTATTGTCAACATTAATTCTGAGACTCATACCTATCCTGACTTTTCCCTAAAGGCGAGTCAATAAATGTCCAGCTAATGATGCTCTAAAGCTAAATACTATTAAGGCGTTGCATGTTCAACTCAAGGGTTATAAGATCAATACTCACAGATTCGCACCTGGTGACTTAGTTGGTTAATCACACCAGCTGTTAATTTTGGTTTGGAAGGTTTAGTGGTTGAAAGGAAATCCCCTGTTTCCTTCCGAACTTGAAATACTTAATTAATTTGTCATTATTTGGCAAACATCTTCCAACATAATGTCTTATCAATATCGGTGCACGCTAGTTCTTGGTAGACAGAATTTTGTTAAATATACGAACTATTAGTAATCTTTGTCGCTTTTCTAGGTTGAGAAGCGAGATCCTGCCGGAGGCGTCATTGTTTCAGCAACAATTCCAGTCTTTGATCAAATCCTAAGTTTTTATACCAACTTCGTATTCGATCCTGAAAACATGGAGGATGGGGAGGACGAAAACAAGCGATGGGCAATGTGTCAACATCATGGCAACTTCCTCCTATCCATCTGGAAACACGTCCGAATGTCAGACGATATTGCCGACGCAATGGAGACAAATTCTCAACTCTGTAAATCTCTGGGATTCGAAATTATTTACAAAGTGAGTATCATTCCTTTTCTGTATCAATGGTGTTGCGTTCATGTAAAACATGTATAAACCCGTTTTCAAGAGTTAAATACTCTTCGGCACACATTAGGTGGTTGAACTGAACTGACCAGCTTTGCCTTGTTAGTATTGGTTACTGGGTTGAAGCAACTGCTTAGAACAACTTGATGCAAGGTAAAAGAAGCTCCGTCAAGCTATTGATTGTTTACATTTCGAGCTATTCCACTGCAAACACAGTAAGAATAAGAAATATCGCAGTTTTAGACGAAAATGATTCATACATACTACATTGAAAAATTTGCAGGTAGAAGCTAGTCATAAGTGTGCTGAAAAGCAGGAGTTGCTAGTCTATACACAAATTTTGACAATTATTATTTACAAGCAAGTTGACGCTTGATAACTATGCTGTCGAAGTGTCTTGAATGACCAGTTGGTTAAAACAGCCTATTATAAGATGCACTAAAGTACAGAGAAGCAGCACCAAGTTACTGTTTCAACCTTTGCTTCACCCTAAATAAGATAGAAATGAGACGACGAATGTGGGTCGTTATGAGAAAATGGCTCAATGGAAAGTCTAGGTATTAGGATGAACAATGTTGAAACTCAGCAACCAAATCAGAGTACAATAGTGCGGATATGCAAAGTTTTATACAACCGAGAAGCTCAAAATAGTCTTTCCTCGGCTATAGATGAGTGTTGGACGACTTCTGAAGTTCATTAGAAGTGTTCAAAACACTTGACTTGGGTAAAGGTAAGGTAGTCTGGGGCCACTCTTATATGGGGATTACATTCTTCCCCTCCTTTAGTTGGCTATAATTAACCAGAACTGTCGGCCAATCGCGCCACTAGATGTGCCCTGTTGGAGGTTAAACTCGTGATCTCCGATTTGCCAGATATGCTTGTTGACCACTGCCCCACCAACACGCGAGTGTTGGGGTAATTTTTTCACAACTATATACTATTTTCGCTAACATTTTTTAACCACTGAATACCTTTCCTTCTTTTTGCTAGTTTCTTCTTCATCTTATCGAGAAGCACTGCCTGGCAATTGAGCTGAATTTGATTTCACCGACGAATAAGAATGATGAAAATCTATCAGCGTTTGCGAACGATGTCTTCCAGAGCACAATAAAGCTGCATATCAGCTTTCTGTTATATCATCTTAAGTGTGTTCAAGTAAATAGAGAGACGTTGTTGATATCACTTACTCCCGTTCTCTACTTCCTCATGGACAGACTTGTGGCGAAAACACATTTCTGTAGATCTTCTACTCTCACGGTGAGTTTTTTACTAGGTTTTCATTCTTTTGATGGTTCATACAAATTTTATTTTGTTAGAGCACGTATAACTCCTTGCTAACTACAGCCAGAAGTATCCTAGCTTTATAATCTAATATTCTAAGAACCATGACCAGGCAAATAAGTATAGCTTTAGATAACGGGACTTCATAAATATGGGGATCCGTAGTGTTCAATTAAGGTTGAATTAAAGAGGGGTTGGGATAACTGGAGAATGGAGACAGGACATCAAGAATCTTCCTTCATTTAAATTCTGGAGTTATCAAATTATCCACATTTTGATTTTCCCACTTTCCAAAGTTCAAATGCTGGGTTATGGCTTCTGGCTTCCAGAGCTTATTAACGAGATCATTTTCTTTATAACCTTTTATTCTTTGATTGACAAATAGAAATTTGTTAGCATTAGCTAAAAGTTGCTCAATTTCGAAGTGTGCCAATGGTTTTAAGTAAAAGTACCCTCTTTTAATTTATTACTGCGAACTGTTTAAAATCATTGGTACAGGAGATAAGGAAGACGAATTTATTATTGTTGGTATAGAGAGGAAATGGCTACTGCCTTGAGTGAATTCTAAAATTATTAAGGGAAAAACGCTGCGCTAACATTTTCAGCCTTTTTCGTATTTGTTTCTGCTCATGATGAAGACAGGTCTAACGCCCGGACGTTCATAGCATCACCACCACTAGAACAAAGGGGGTGGGTTTCCAGATCATATTTGTGTCCTAAATTTGGGGCAGGATACAAAATTAATTCAATTCAAATAAGGCGTGTTATTTAATATTCGTATTCAATATAGCTGTATTTCATTTTCATTTTAGGCTATGATTAACTTTGCTAATCACTTCCCCGATCTCTTCACACTTACTTTCTCTCCACAAAGTACTACTACTAGTGCTGAGAATAATGAAAACGAAGAACTGGCAGAGGAGCAGCTGCAATCGTCTGAAGCTGACGCTGCTTCCACCACCACAGCCAACAAAGTCACCAAATCTGCAGGTGGAAACCTAAATAAGGCCCAGAAGAAGAAAAAGAAGCGTGCAGCCTTGCAAGCCGATGCTACCAAAGCCCTTGGCGATGGACTCCTAAAAATGGATAAGAGCATAGCCGATCCCTCTAACTGGCCTACTCTCAGTGTAATTGCCAACTCTCAACTAAGACTCTTCATTTCACGATGTGACCCCTTCTTAGAGGTCGCTATTGACTCTGATAGACTCTGGACTACTGTCGGTTTTGAGGAGAATTGCGAGTCGTCTGAGGTCGTTGACACTGTCTCATCTGAGGAGAACGAGAATGATGGTGATAACGATGCACAGAAGAAGCTTAAACGATTTACTCTCCTTAATCATCCCAAAAATCCCTATACGTTGCCTTCGACTGCACTTGCTACACGTCTTCTGCTGGAGTGCTTACAAAAAGCTCCGGATGTTCAACAAGCAGCTGCAAGTGCTCTCCAGAGATGTCTTAATGGGAAACCGCAGGAATCGATTAACCATGTTCTTGATTACTGGTTGAATATTTACTGCTGTCTTATAGAGGTACACAATATATATACGTTCTCTGTTGACAGCACCACTGTCGTGCCAATTAACGTGCTTACTTGCAAATTTAGAAATCACCAGTTCGACACCCATCATTACATCTATTAGGCGAGATGTCTAGCCGCATTGGTTAAATCAAAATAATAATGGAAAATTTTACCAAAAATGAATGTTAAAAAATGCTTTTCCGTACAGACTTTTGATAGTTAAAGGAAATAAAACGTCAGTCAGAGAAAAGTAACATTTTATGGAGTTCATTTAAGATAGGTTAGTATCGAATGTAAAGCTTGGATAGGTATACCATGGTCTTCCACTAAACATATTTGGTGCACTTTCAGACTTCAAACCAAATTATTACCATAACAGAAGTAATTTTGGTAAGAGCTTTGCACTCAAGGTAAGTGAGTTAAATTGCAGAGGACATTAATTTGCAGCAGTCAAGGTTTACATTCATTTGAATTTTAATCTCACTCTATTCTCTTTTACATGGTTGTTTGGAAGTGTTTCAATCGACTTGACTAAGTTTAGGAAATTGGATGGTAGTATCATTATTCATTTTGGGTTAAATAGTCGTTAGGTGACAAAGTTCGGAAAGACTTTCTTAATTTTCTCATAACACCACTTTGGTGGCTCCACCAAATACCCCGATCCATCTATAATCCGTGATTGCTACTGGAACAATAACTTGAAACCAAATGGATTGTTGTCAGACTTTCCAAAGAGAAGTGTGTGCAGCATCCTCTAACTACCTTTGGATATACGAAATTGCATTGAGTTATGGTTTCTTGCTTGTCTCTTCCTATTATTTCTTATTTTAAAAAGGCATTTTAGCGTAGTTTAGCTCACATCCTGAATATAAATGCATTGATTGCAGAATCTTCCACTTCTGAATAGAATTTAAAAGAAATAAATTATGCAAATTGGCACTATTCTGAATGGCAATCCATACTTTCTAGAAACCTCAACCGAAAACGGATGTCCATGGAAAGCCCATTAAACAGGTCCCACCAAAGTATACCAAACAGCGAGTTGGAATGGCACGAGCTCTTGAGGCAGTTGTCAGCTGCTCACGCACTCCTGGCTACTACCTCGCTTCAGATCGTGAGAACCTCTCTTCCACTATTGATAACAACGTTGCAAATCAACAGCCATCGCCTAAAGCCGGAGCTTGGTTGGGCAAAATCTTCCAATTCCTCGTCGATGAAGGTCTTCATGATCCACAGGAAGAGGTTCGATGTGCTCTACTTAGAGCTGGTTTGGCGGCTACGCAGAATTATGGTGTTGTAGGTGTTCCCCTCTCTACATGTTACTGCTCACCTTATATTTCAGTTCCTTAGTGATTATTTCCGTTTGCTATTCCTTTGCAGACGAATCTGCAACAGCTACTGACCATCTTAGAGGCCTTTTTAAACAAGGCACCGAATGTGGCGGAATTGGATATGGTACGACAGTCAGTTGTGGTTCTACTGGGATCTTTGGCGAAGTTCTTGGAAAAGGACGATCCCCGTGTGATGAGCATTTTCAATAAACTACTCTCAGCTGTTAGTTTTCCTGCTGATGTGGTAAGTATAAGGGGAGAGGGGAATTTTTTGATGAATTTATAGCTGCATTTCTTAAAGTTGTTTCTATCCTCATACTTGAAGGAGTTTGAACATTTTACTTGCTTAAAATCGTGATAGACTGTGGCTTCTCATATTCAACTTATTATTTTTGATCACCCATAAAACACCCAAATTGAAAATTTAGAATGTGAAAAGCAACTGAAACTGTTTTCTGGAGCGTCAAACAAATGGGAGAATCGCAGGGGGGGGGGGTAAAACGATGTTTTAGGGGCAATGTCGAGGTGCCAAAGTGTCCAGCTTCATTTGATTCGGTTAAATAATAATTTTAAAATGGTTAGTGCGAATTCCTAAACTCAAGCCTTATAGTTCTTCTCCTGAAAAGTGGTGTATATTCTTTTCTACGATATCTGGTGCTTATTGCCTAATTTTTCAATCACGATGAACGGTCTTGGCATCAACTCAAATTTCCATTCCAATGCTTAAAAAGGCAAGATGATCCTGCTTTGCAGATGTCTCCAAGGTTTGATTTTACTCACCTTTTAAGGCAGCATAACCTAGCATTCTTCTGGATGTCAAAGCGTGAATAGAAGTTAATCTAAGTCTTGTTTTGAATGAGTTTGGCTATACTTAAATCACTCTATATCGGGCCAAGTCAACCAGTTTGAGTCTTCAAGATTTCATACAAAATAAACTGCAAACGGTAAATTTTTCCATTATGCTAATTCTTTTATTCAACTTGGCTACTACGTGCCATGGTAGAATCCAGAGCCATTATTGTGTTATGGTTTCTCTATTTACCCCCCAAAATATAAGTAAGATTAAGTTTTGGAATTAAGGAAACGCTTTAAGTGCTACGCAGTAGCAAATCTACTCTTCTGTCAAATTTTGAGACCACAAGAGCAGTGCTTAACGGTGCACATCTAGTGATGTGAACGCCAACTGCATTGCTTAACAAGGCGAACTAAGGAAAGGTTATTTTCTCACGAGAGAAGCTCCAGTATGTTTTCCTCGTGCTCTAATAAAAGGCTCTTTATAACCCCCCCCCCCCCCCCCCCTCCCTCTGATGTACTTTGTTTGACATCCGGTGAAGTGAATGGTCAGACCTACTAGCTTCTTGACTAGCGTAAAAATGTTCTTTCACAGTTCTTAATTCATGGTAGAAAGCAATAATCGGTGTGCCGATCTAGGACCCACGAAATCGATGCCAATCATTGTAAATTCTATTTGACGCAAGAATTTATCATTAGAATTATTTCAGGATTCTCTCACCCCAAGGCGAGCGTTACACTCACCTTAGTGGATTTAGGTAATTTTCCTCTTCCAAGGACTTTATCAATAACTTTAAGGGTTTCTGAAAATTATTTTTTTGTAGAATAATGCTTTAATTATTATATTTATTTTGGAATAAAAAACGTGCATATTGCATATAACTTCTTATGAAAGTTATACTTTAATGCTCATTCTCTATCAATGCGTAATCTTTTGTTGTTCTTACTATTACCTCATATATTGCATTTGGTAGGTTCAAAAGGCAGTGGAAGATGCTCTTGCACCTCTCGCCCCTAAAATACCCGCAGAACAGTTGGAGAAAGTATTTCCTCGTCTCATGAGTACCCTCTTCTCTTCTCTCAGTTATCCAGAACGTCGTGGCGCTGCCTATGCTCTGGCTGGTATCATCCACGGCATCGGTATTTCTGCTCTCAAACAGCGCGGCATCATTGATCGTCTTTTGGCTAGTCTAGATGATAAGAATGCCAAGTTTAGGGAAAGTATGTTGACTCCTGGCGTAACACTTGCTGTCGCATCTTGCAAATACAACTGTTACCCCCTTTTTAGGTTCTCTCTTTGCATTTGAACGGCTGTCTCTCGCTCTAGGTCGATTGTTCGAGCCCTACATTGTGAAAGTCATTCCTCAATTGCTCAGTTGTTTTGGCGATAATAATGCCGGTGTTCGAGATGTGAGTTCATAAGTTTCTTTATTATTCGAAATTTCGGATCCATGTAATCAAGGTTTGAAGTTTGGTTTGGAATAATATATGATAAGCGTAATTGCGCAGCAATTTTAGTGGTTATATTCAATATTACTAATATAGCTCAAAGGGATAAAATTCGGTCTTAATTTGTGAAAGATTGGTGATGGCGCTTTGTTAAGATGACATCTTAACAATTCCTGTTCTGCATCTGTAGTGGGACGTTAACTCTTAAACACTTCCCCTATAACTTATTCGAAAATACCCAAATGACTTTTAGTTTACATCTTTTCTTATTAGGTAGGAGTAAATAGTTATATTAATTTGCATGGTGTTTGTGAGTTTTTGACTGAATTCTCCTATGACTAAGCTGTGGTGGTTACCAATTTGTAACACACTTCTCTACTTCCCTTGTAGGCGGCTTCCGTGACTAGTCGAGCAGTTATGAGCAAACTCAGCGCTCACGGTATCAAACTCATTCTTCCGATTCTCTTGAAGGTAATTGATGAGGAAAATCCCTGGAGAACTAAGTGCCGTGAGTTTTGTTTTCGTTACTTGAAAAAGCACAAATGTTACCGGTTACTGCATGCCAAAAATGTTAACTACTGGTAACTGGAGTTTTTTCAGTATTAAGGTGCTTTCCATAAAGCTTGATGTGGCGGAAAATCTCTTCTAGAGCAGTTTAAATCACACTTCAAAGAGTGGCTGAGTGCATCCATTCAGTAGCGAGACTGTTTTTCATATATATATTGAAAAGGCTGAAGGCAAAAAGTTTACATCCATTCAAAAGTTCAACCCGATTAAAATAAGTGATACTTCAAACCATACATACTTATCCTTTACTGATATCTTTTGTGGTTAAATACTACAGTTGTAGTTTACTTTGCCGTTTGCAATAATTTCTACCTTCTTCGTTTCAGAGGCTGTTGAAGTGCTTGGAACTATGACCAGTTGTGCACCCAAACAGCTCTCTGCCTGTCTACCACAAATCGTGCCTCGTATCCTCAAGGTTCTTGTTGACTCTCAGGAGAGTCTGAAGAAGGCTGGAGCTCAAGCATTGGAACGAATAGGAACTGTTATTCGTAACCCCGAAGTTCAAGGTAAGTGAATAATTTTAAACGATCAAAATGTTCAGTAGTTTAATGTTGATATGAGGGCGGTTAGATTGACCTTAGACAACTTCTTAGGTGAGTCAATCTGATGTCTCGTTAATCCAAGTTTAGTCATAAATTATTTATATCAAATGGCAGGCGTTATGAATGGGGAAGGAATGTCAAAGTGAAAAAGGCGAGAGGTTGGGGGAGGAGGGGACAGAAGTGTTTCAAAGATGTTAAAGAAACAGGCACAAAGGCAGAAAAAGGTGAGGTGATTACTGTGGAAGTAGTGGAATATGACAGTGGGGTGAGGGTAGTTAGAAGTGAGAAGTCAACTGTCGGTTAATAGACTTTTTTTGC